AAAGTGAATATTCCTGGCTTTCCGAAAACTTACACTGGTTGTAAAAGGTTTTTATGGGATTGGGTGTCCACAATGGGTAAATTGTTCAATTGCTTGGAATCATATCCCGATGGCGGGGATCACTGCTCACAATAACGATCACATGATTGTGGTTTACAATCGGTCGCCTATTTACAGACAGTCGCCATTTTGCTGAAATAGAGCTGAGTGCACCTTTAAATAAATAAGACCCCAGACAAAGCAGTGGTTGGAGATGACCACCTTGGGACCTGCCTCCTGGTGGTACAACAAGGCTCTTTACTGTCCACACCCATCGTTGCCTGATGGTTGGTACAGCTGGGTCTCTTGATACTCATTAGGCTTTCATTGGGATATGTGCTGTCCATGAATTCTACCCACTAATTTCAGCATTCATTATGTCGATATAGGTTATCTCCTACGTGTAGGGAACCCGTGAAGATCCGGGTTAGAGTTGATCTTCAGTAACCCATGCTTGACGTAAGATGGGTGGTCACGCTCGCTGATTTGGTTGACACATGTCATTGTGTCCCAATTGCGTAGATCGATGCTCATGCCGTTGATCACTGGATTGTCTGGTCAGACTCGATTATTTACAGACCGCCGCCATATAGCTGTAATATTGTTGAGTGCGGCGTAAAACTAAACTCACCCACTATTAACTAACAGCTTAATCCTATACTTTCCTATATTTCGGTTATCTCTAACGTGTAGGGGGCGGTGGGGTAGCTTAGTGGTTGAGGCGTTCTCAAAGACCCTGGTTCGATTCCCCATATGGGCACAATGTGTGAAGCCCATATCGGGTGTCCCCCGCCGTGATACTGCTGGATTATTGCTAAAAGCGGCGTAAACATAAACTCACCCATTCACTCACTCTTACGTGTAGGCAAACTTATCCTTGCATTAAGGATGTGTTAGTAACTTTGATGTCCCTCAGGAGCAGGATTATTTAGCACTATGTAGATACAAATGTATTTATCATATTGTCATTCTTTTCACCTTGCGAATTGTACAAATCTGGTTGTAAATGTTATTGGTAGCTTATGTTCAGTGCTTTTACTTTGGTACCCACAACACCCTCAGTTGTTTAGAAGTTAGTTTCCTACACGAGTGTATCCAAGCCGAGGTTAACTGCTCGAAAGCGCCGGGAACGATGACTCCCAGGTGATAACTGGCCACAGCCAAATTCTCCCTATGCTGCTTATGCAACCTGTCGAACGAACGAACGAACGAACGAAACGAACACCAGATACTCATAAATGGGCATTGCAAATGTTAAATGGATCCATATGATGAAAAGGAAAATATTTTGTTATAAATAGACAACTTCTTTATTGCAATGGATACAGTGTTTAGGTCTACAGTCCGTTTGGTTCAAAAGCGGACCGATGAATTGCAATCTAACTCGAAAACTAATAAACATAAAATACTCAATGAAATGCTGATCATAATCAAAACATCATACCCACTCTGTGAGGTTTTTGCAGAATTTATATCCTAAAAATAAAAAAGTTGTTTAACAATCTATCATTAAAATATTGACACAGTTCACTATTTGTTACGAGGGAGGAGTGCAGAGAAAGGGACAGCCAGGTGTTCGAGAACGGATGGAGACGGCACAGCACAGGTTAATGAATAAAAAACTTCTGTGAACGTGCTTCTCGAACACCTGGCTGTCCCTTTCTCTCACAGAGTGGGTATGATGTTTTGATTATGATCAGTGTTTCATTGAGTATGTTATGTTTATTAGTTTTCGAATTAGATTGCAATTCATCGGTCCGCTTTTGAGCCAAACGGACTGTCGATGCTAATACAGTTATCAAGCAAGTTTTCCTATTCATCATCCCAGCTTCTAAATGCCACTTTGACCCTTATGATATTTATGAACCCCCCATCCCTCTACAATGATGATTGGAATAACGAATTAAAAAATAAACCTAGAGTCATAATCTGTAATAAACTAACAGCTTGATCTTTATCATAAAAATTGATACATTGGGAAGTTTACAACCTTCTGTTTAACAAAAACGTTCATGATTGGTGACATCAATTATTGTAAATATCATTTGTATATAATTGCAGCCAAACTACAGACGGTGATAAAATTATTAAAAGATTGGCGGTTTATGGATGGCACTCATCTACAAGACGGGAACTTGGAAGGCTGATAATAAGAAATAAAAGCTTGAGAACATCATCTGAACAATACACCTCACTCTGTTGTCCAGACGAATAATGTCATGGTGAAGATAATTATTGACTTTCGCCAGCTAAATTTAGCCAAAGTGTTGTAATTTCATAGGTTAAGCGTATGGGAACCTATCTGATGAAAGTTCGAAGCCTTTATTATACGCGAAATACATCCAAAGATTTCTATAACGGCGACTATTCTATATCTGTCTGAACTAAATTCTTGAGAGGTGTATACCAACTAATCATTGACGCAATAGTTTCGCTGATCAAAACAATTCGCTACTTGTGACGTACACCGTTTGAAATTGTTGAAGTTTGATTTTCGTTTATTCTCGCAAATGAAAGGAACGTTATTGTTTTATGAACATGTAGATGTGTGGGAGCTTTCAAGTTCATAACCTGATGTGATTTCAAGAGAAAACAATTACTCTGTTTAGACATCAGTAAAGGTAACTGTGAATGTCAGCGTGCATTTGATCTTGAAACAATAAGTTGTTGGGGATCTGTATCTCCCTTTAGAAATAGTGAATGAGTGAGAGTGAGTTTAGTTTTGTGCCGTTTTAAGCAATATTCCAGCTATATCACGGTTGGGTACACGAGAGGTGGGCGGAACACAATGTACCCATGTGAGGAGTCGAACCCGGGGGGTCTTCGGCGTGACGAGCAAACGCTTTAACCACTACGCCCCCCCCCCATTCATTATTAAACTTTGTGTTGTCAACTATGGTTTATGCCATAACTGTATCAGTTCTCGCCCCCCCTCCAAAAAAGAAGAAGAAAGAATATAAATAAAATAAAATAAAGTATTAAATTTAAAAAAAATAATAGCGTAACAAATGATTCAGTTACTGCAATGTCATAAAATGAAAATATTATTTAGATTTTACATTTTTTTTATAAATTCAGAAAATGACTTATAGAATGTAATACGTAATACCTGTTTCCGATTAAGCACACAAATAAATTCCTCTGGGTGATAAAACATTATTTGCGGTGGAAATTTCATTTGAATGGATCACTGTAAATCTCTACGCGTCCATTGTACAAGTGTAACTAAGTAAAACAGAACTTTACAGTTGATTGTAAACTCCAGATTGTCCCCTTAAAATGAACTTTAGGATTTCTAATAATTATACCAAAAATGAAAGTCTTACTTCTCTTGATCTTTACATCAGTGACAATATGCAGTTTCCCTATTTTGTGTTCCTATTTTTCAAACCGTGAAGATCCGGGGTAGAATAGGTCTTCAGCAACCCATGCTTGCCACAAAAGGCGACTATGCTTGTCGTAAGAGGCGACTAACGGGATCGGGTGGTCAGGCGCGCTGACTTGGTTGACACATGTAATCGGTTCCCAATTGCGCAGATCTATGCTCATGCCATTGATCACTGGATTGTCTGGTCCAGACTCTATTATTTACATATAGCTGTTATATTGCTGAGTGTGGCGTAAAACTAAACTCACTCACTCACTCACTCCTATTTCTCAGGTTAACAGCTGCCTAGTCTTCGTGGGTCTTTGTGACGGATGTTACATATGGAGTAAGATGTGAACACCTATAGCTTTTCGCGAACACCCTGTATAATAACCGTTTCATAGTGATTCCTAAAAGAATGTTCGTGATATATCCAGAGTCGTACAATAGACTCGGCTTTGGGAGAATTTTTATGAATGTGTAAAATTATTTTATCGCATTTATTTGGGTAATGTTTATCAATGTTACCATAATGCCAATCCATTTTACAGGTTAACAGCTGTCCAGCCTTAGCGGGTCTTTGTGAAGAATGATATCCGTGGCACACCCGATATCATCACCGTTTCATACTGATTCCTAAAATCATGCTCATGATATATCAGAGTCGTGCGATGGACTCTGCTTTTGAAGAGGTTTTAGCGCTTTTATTTATGTAATATTAGTACTTATCAATGTTACCATAATGTTACCATTTTTTATCCTTTGTGGATCTTTCTGAAGGATGATATCCCAGGTGTCAGAAACGCACACCTATAGCTATTCGCGAAACATCCGATATCGTCACCATTTCATTCTGAATCCTAAAAGCATGCTCATGATATATCAGAGTCGTGAAATGGACTCGGCTTTTAAAGAGATTTTTATGAATGTGTAAACTGTTTTATCGCTTTTATTTATGTAATACTTATCAATGTTACCATAATGACAATCCATTTGTTAGCCTTTGTGGATCTTTCTGAACGATGATATCCCTGGTGTCAGAAACGCACACCTATAGCTATTCGCGAAACATCCTATATCGTCACCATTTCATTCTGATTCCTAAAAGCATGCTCATAATGTATCGTGAAATGGACTCGGCTTTTAAAAAGATTTTTATGAATGTGTAAACTTTTTTATCGCTTTTATTTATGTAATACTTATCAATGTTACCATCATGACAATCTATTAAATATCTGAGATTCTTTCAAGCCATTGATGCCAACAGGAACCAAGTAGCAGTACTGACATTCAACAACGTCCATCTATGCCTAGGACTCCTCAAACAACACCAATGTTCTCCTTCCAGACGTTAAGTGTCGACCACACAAACTAAGGCACAACAACCACGGTAAACATTAACGGAATACACAGGTAAACTGATGAAGGAGCTAGCAAAGACCATTGCTTCTATGTGCAGTGATGCTGTCATACCTTTTGATATAGTCGAGTAGCACTAGAATACGTCCCAGGGCGAGCACGGGCTGAATATTTCATATGTGGGAGAGAGGAGGGTCCTTGTCTAGAGCTCGTGAGCTGCACGCAACATGCACAGTACTGTGTAGGCGAGCCGGATCAAAGAGTCGCTTACACAAACATAAAATCTCGCCCAATGAAGACCATAGCTCAGTCTGTGACGTGATTTCAGAACAACACCACTGACAAACAAACTCCGGCGCTGGTGGCCTTTTCAATTCTGGTACTAGAAGTAGACAGACGAAATTACTTATAGAAGTTTGAAGCCACACTGCCAGTGTAAAGGTGTCTGGAGGTTTTGACTTGAAGATAAATTTAAACGGATTTCATAACGTTAAACGACGTTATCAACCCAAGAAGCAATTTTAGAGTTAAAGGTAAGTTGGTATTTTTTCGTTTAAGTTTTTTGACATGGTAATTTATCCTTGCTGTTAAGTGAATTCCTTATTATGACAGGATACCGTACCAAGTACTGGTTTCAGATTATTATTGATCGAGTAAAGTTCCTTTATAGAGAAACCATATCGCTTGATCCTGGCGTACTGTAAATCGGTTCCATGAGAGAGGGCATTAACAGATCTTTTGCACATTATATTGGTATTAAATATGTTTTTTAAACCAAATGTTTTTCTCTGAAAAAGGGACAGAAATAGGAGCTATCGTGTAATTACTGGACGCCTATCATGTATTGCTTTTATTTCCGGCTTAATGTAGAACAGTAGTATATATGACGGTGTCCAGGTAAATGATGTTGGTACCGCGTGCTGACAGCGATTCTGGACTCGGTTAACGGTATTTGTGTGTGGAACACAGGCATGGTAGAATGATTAACAATGTAGCAGCAATTAAAGCTTTTATCGCCAGGATGTTTCACAGCATCAGCTGAACTATCACAAACGTACCGGGAAGGAGATCTATAATTATTTTCGTGACGAGATATAGAGGGATTCTCACACTCTGCATTGCTATTCTCGTTTGTGCGTTTGTGTGGCTCGTTAATGGTCCCTTTACCTGTCTGTCATACCATTTTCGGAAGAAAAGTTTGTTAATGTATCTTCTGTTGGTATTCTTTTATTTTTCGTCTTTTTTATGTGTGTGTGAGTGAGAGAGAGAAAGTAGAGGTGTGTGTGTGTGTGTGTGTGTGTGTGTGTGTGTGTGTGTGTGTGTGTGTGTGTGTGTGTGTGTGTGTGTGTGTGTGTGTTGTTGTGTGTGTGTTTTGCGGGTTGGACGTTTGGGTAGAATTGTCCGTAGAGAATGTAGTCTCTTAATTATGTAAATGGAGGAAATTCATCTGAACATTTCAATTCCCGGATGAATACATTTTCCTAAGAACTGCATTTACTGTGTTGTAATTACAACCCGTTGTAATCAAAAGCACTACTCGTAGCTTTTGAAAGTAAGGAAATAAGATGTGCATGCGAAATTAATCAAAACCAACAGGCTGTCATTCAACGTAACTAAAACGTGTGATGTGGTTTTTCAAAAACGTTTGACATTTCTGCACACAACACTTTACTGAAGGACTCATGCTGATGTGTTGAAACATCCGGGGTACTAAACAGATCACAGGACTCGTGTTGGTAAGGACCATGCATAAGATATATCGAGCGTTCTAATCACTGATGCATACATATGCATGAACTCAGAGTTAACATTTAACGCCCGGATGTAGTGAGAGCCGAGAAAAAGATTTTCTTTGAACTTTTTTCAGGTAATATTTTTTAGACGTGTATGATCCATCTCGTTATAGCTGAGTGGTAGGCACATGTTTTTATATCAGCGACATTTTTGTCCATGTCACCAAAATAGTGTTCAAGTGTTCATTTTTTCGACGTGTACGTTTCATTACGCCATATTATAAAAAGAAACATTTAAGCACTGGAAAGCTAGAAATAGTGTTCACATACTTCACCGATATGGCAATCAAACCTGGGCCTTCGGCGTGACGATCAAATGCTTTAACCACTCGGTTACGTTAAATGCCCCTTATATTTGTGACTCGTAATGTGCATTATTTTGATTTACGATTATGAATGTGAAATATGAAGCTCTGCGTAAAACAGTTTGAAAAATATATAATTATTTATGATCGCTATATGGTTGAAGGAAAATGGTAACTACTTACTTAAAAGTACAATAAACAGTATGTTTGCACCAAACTTCTGAAACTGGTTTACATCTCAAAGAAACCGGTCTATATATTTAGAGTAACTGGTTTAGATATTCAAAGAAACTGGTTTAGATTTTAAAGAATCTGGTTTAGATATTCATATATGTCGGTGGTTTTCGAAGATGTTTTATCAACCAGACTTCAGACAGGTTTTAAACATAAGTTATTAATGCCCCACACGTCTATGCCAAACTTCCCCGTTAACCGATGTGTAATTATCTGCCTTATTCTCGACATTAATAAGGACTCCAAATATGTAATGTAAAGATTTATCCAAAAGCGTGTTAATGTATGTCTGCATTCAAGCACCAGTATTAATGTCTGGCATTGAGAAGCCAAGGCCTTTCGGACTGGCATACTCGTATTGTATCCATAACGACGCCGGGTGGCACATAGAAAAGTGCATGGTTACTGCGAATATTACGAAGAGCAGATGTTTATCATGGAGAGCTTTAAAGGAAATTTGACTGTAACGGATAATTGAATGAAAGATCGAGTGGGGTTTAACGCCCATAAAATAATGCGACCGATTTCTTTGTACAGTCAGGAGATATTTCTGCTAAAGACAGAGTCAATTGTACATTCTTACTAGTTCATGAGCTTGTGTTTTGGAATCCAGATCAAACAGTGACGATATAGAAAGGTAAACGTATAATACCTCACATTAAGCACTCGTCACAAACACATGCAAGGGCAAGTCACGTTTTTACCTGAATACACAGCATCAGTGTATTTGTTTCACAGTGTGTCAGTAAATTGGGAAGAAGAAAGCTCGAAATGATGAAACTTTCTTAATATGAAACTCATGATCCCGGATATGAAACTTTAGTGACATATCATTTCGAAGCGGGATTTGAACCAACCTCCTTTGGTATCTGGCATGCCTGTGGGGTCACAAATCACGGCGAGTGACGACGAGTGGGATAAAGGTCGAATTTACATCCCTGAAATACAGCTTACGCGCAACGCTTCATCCATGTTTAGTGAAATCTGTCTCACCACGCAAGTCATAACCATTGCTGAAACATTACTTCATCATTCTGGATAGTGTGGTGTAGTCTTTAGAGCGTCAATTATAGTTCCAAAGCTGCAGCCTCCCCGGGTAGACTGACGTTAAAATATGGTAAATGTGTGGCACTCTGGTCGGCTCGGAGTCAGTATGATGTGTCTGAGTCGCTTCAGGTAGCCATGGACTATAACACACTAGAAAGCAGTAGGTGTGTCAAGTGACCCTATAATAGACACCTCCCCTCACCTCAAGCAGTAGATGCGTCAAGCTGCAGCCTAGATTCCTATTATAGACTAGAAAGCAGTAGATGTGTCAAGTGACCCCTATAATATACTAGAAAGCAGTAAATGTGTGTCAGATGATTCCTATAATAGACTAGGAAGCAGTAAATGTGTCAAATGATTCCTATAATAGACTAGAAAGCAGTAGATGATGTCTTTCAGTGGCATTTATAATAGACTAGAAAGCAGTAGATGTGTCAAGTGACCCCTATAATAGACTAGAAAGCAGTAGATGTGTCAGATGATTCCTATAATAGACTAGAAAGCAGTAGATGTGTCAGATGATTCCTATAATAGACTAGAAAGCAGTAGATGTGTCAGATGATTCCTATAATAGACTAGAAAGCAGTAGATGTGTCAGATGATTCCTATAATAGACTAGAAAGCAGTAGATGTGTCAGATGATTCCTATAATAGACTAGGAAGCAGTAGATGTGTCAAATGATTCCTATAATAGACTAGGAAGCAGTAGATGTGTCAAGTGATTCCTATAATAGACTAGGAAGCAGTAGATGTGTCAGATGATTCCTATAATAGACTAGAAAGCAGTAGATGTGTCAGATGATTCCTATAATAGACTAGAAAGCAGTAGATGTGTCAGATGATTCCTATAATAGACTAGAAAGCAGTAGATGTGTCAGATGATTCCTATAATAGACTAGGAAGCAGTAGATGTGTCAGATGATTCCTATAATAGACTAGAAAGCAGTAGATGTGTCAGATGATTCCTATAATAGACTAGGAAGCAGTAGATGTGTCAGATGATTCCTATAATAGACTAGGAAGCAGCAGTAGATGTGTCAGTAGATGATTCCTATAATAGACTAGGAAGCAGTAGATGTGTCAAATGATTCCTATAATAGACTAGAAAGCAGTAGATGTGTCAGATGATTCCTATAATAGACTAGAAAGCAGTAGATGTGTCAGATGATTCCTATAATAGACTAGAAAGCAGTAGATGTGTCAGATGATTCCTATAATAGACTAGAAAGCAGTAGATGTGTCAGATGATTCCTATAATAGACTAGAAAGCAGTAGATGTGTCAGATGATTCCTATAATAGACTAGGAAGCAGTAGACAGTAGATGTGTCAAATGATTCCTATAATAGACTAGAAAGCAGTAGATGTGTCAGATGATTCCTATAATAGACTAGGAAGCAGTAGATGTGTCAAATGATTCCTATAATAGACTAGAAAGCAGTAGATGTGTCAGATGATTCCTATAATAGACTAGGAAGCAGTAGATGTGTCAAATGATGGAAGCTATTATAGACTAGGAAAGCAGTAGATGTGTCAGATATGATTCCAATAATAGACTAGAAAGCAGTAGATGTGTCAGATGACTCCTATAATAGACTAGAAAGCAGTAGATGTGTCAAATGATTCCTATAATAGACTAGAAAGCAGTAGATGTGTCAGATGATTCCTCTAATAGACTAGAAAGCAGTAGATGTGTCAGATGATTCCTATAATAGACTAGAAAGCAGTAGATGTGTCAAATGATTCCTATAATAGACTAGAAAGCAGTGGATGTGTCAGATGATTCCTATAATAGACTAGGAAGCAGTAGATGTGTCAAATGATTCCTATAATAGACTAGAAAGCAGTAGATGTGTCAAATGATTCCTATAATAGACTAGAAAGCAGTAGATGTGTCAGATGATTCCTATAATAGACTAGAAAGCAGTAGATGTGTCAAGTGACCCCTATAATAGAGTAGAAAGCAGTAAACGCAAATATTATGATGACAACTTCTTCTTTATTGAAGTTGTCAACCATAATATTTGCGTTTTACTTGAACACCAACTTCTAAATGCCACTCAAGAACCTAGAAAGCCGTAGATGTGTCAAATGGCCCCTATAATAGACTAGAAAGCAATAGGTTTGTCAGGTAGTTAAGGAGGTAGCTATGCAAC